ATAGGTGTCTCGGAGGTTCACACATTCGCGCCCCTCGAAACAAATAAAATTGCAAAAAAAAAAAATCAAGAAGAAATCTAAGACAAAGTGTTTAAACAAAAGTTCGGTTTTTTGTATTAAATTCAATGATAATAAAATAACAAGAGCAAGGGCCTTTATATAGGAATCAAATAGATCTAGTCCTAATCTAACTATAACTCTAATAAAGTAATAAAATATTAAGTATCCTAAACAATCTAAATATCATAATGAAATAAGGAAACTAAATATCTAATGGATCCTTGGTGATCTTGTCTTGCACTCCAAGTAGAAAGCCCTAGCCGCCCTTCTCGCCGCCTTGGTCTCCTACCGCCCGCGCGCGTTTTGCCTTAGTCCTCGAGGACTAAGGTCGAGCCATCTGCTTTCGCGCGTGCTTCCCCGTTACGCGTGTTGCGCACGCCCGCGTCCTCTGTTGCTTCCTCGCACGCATCCCCGACACCCGTCGCTTCAGCGAACGGTCGCCCTTGGTGATTACCCTGGCGCGCGTCCCTGCATGATGTGCCTGTTCGCGCCCATACTCGTTGCGCATGCGTCAACCCCCGACGCTCGCGCATCCCTCTCGAGCGCTAGTCGCGCGTCGTCACTCTCGATCGCCTGCATCTGGCCCGTGCGCCGGGCTAGCCTCCTGCGTGCATGATAGGCTCGGCTCGAAGCATTTTTTTAGTTGCCGCGCCATATCCGCATCAGCGCTGTCAGGCGCGGTCGCGTACGTTGGGCTGCTGTGCGTCGCGCCTACGGTGCGCGGGCACAGGGTACGGGCCGACACTGCGCGCTGCATGTGTGACCAGTGACCATGGTCGGCCCTTGCCGGCCATTCGACAACTTTTCCAGTGACATCCAACATATATCAACATAATATGATCTAAAACACTTAAAAATGCCAAGAAACCCTAGCATACCTTGGTTGGATTTAAAAATGGTTCGATAGGGTCGATACGGCTCGTATAAACCAGAAGTCACCGAACACTTTAACTTATCATTAACTTTTGGTAAAAGCCGAGTTCTTACACATATAAATCATGGATTATGAGACTAGAATAATAGGCTTTACTCGCATGCATCTCGATTTGACTCGGGAGTGAAATTTCACTAAAAATTGAACACTAGATGAACGGGCAAATGAACTCCAAACATGCTCAAATTTATACACCATCATTCTCATGATTTATAAGGATTTGTAAGCTATTAAATTCGGCCTAAACATGCTTGCTACGAAAAATCCGAATTTAAGGCGTTAAACTTCAAAATTTTGAAACTCATACTTAAACATGTGCATGCATGGAATTCTCTTCATGATAAATCTTAAAATATCATGAATTGGCTATAAAAATCAAGAGTCACGAGCTAACCTCCACCAAAGACCGAAAATGGTGATAGGACCCTTGTTCGTGCCTTTCTCGGGTCTCTAAAGGCAACGGCTCGACTCGGGTGCAATATGGTTGAGCTTTGCTGAATGGGGAGACTTAGAATAGTCCAAGGAATGCTATGAAGCTGATGGACCTCAGTGGAATATGGCTGGAATAAGGTGAGACCTCGGTCCATTCATCCTCGGGCTCGCACGCGCGTGGGTGGACTTGGAGGAAGCTCACGGTTTTTCTCTCTTATGCTAAGTGTTGAGCTTGAAATGCTGAGTTTCTAAGGGCCAAATTAAGCTGGAAAGTGAGCCTTAAGTAGAGTATTAAGGGAGGATTGCACAAGGTAAGAAGAGACAAAACCTTCCACATGTGCATGGGAGTTAGGGAGGGTTTTGGCACCACCATGGCCTGGGCTTTGCACGGTTTTTAGAGAATTTTCAGAGTATCTTTGCTTGAGGACAAAGTGTGGTCGGCCCCCAAGGCACTAAGGACAAGAATCTTCCACTACACATATTAAAATATGCCTTACACATGCTCCCAACTAGTGTCAGTGTTATTTTATTAACTTTAATCATTCTTAAGGCTAACCTTGGCTTAAATAACTCCTAATCCACCTATTAATACATGCATGAACGTGCACTTGGGCCAAAATTAAGACAATGGCCTTGGGAGTGCACCTGGTCGGCGCTGGCGCAAGCTGGACGCTGTCTGCGCGTGCTGCGGCACGCGGTCGTGTGCGTGCTGGCTGCCTGCGCGCTGGACTGGCGCGACACTGTTCGGCTGCGCGCGAGAATGACTAGGGTCGAGGAAAATGAACATCTAAAGCTTTGCATGGCTTGATATATGGCCTTAGCTTGATGACTAACACTTAGAAAATTCTAAGATATAGCCATTGACTTAGACGAGGCTCGGCCATGACCTCGGGCGCGACTAGGCGCGGGGGCTCGTGACCAAACATATTCGATTCCGTTCACGACTTGACTTGGACGATATCTCGAAATATCTCGATTCTGATAAATTCGTCAACTTGGAATAATCAATCCCAACTTAAAAAAAAAAAATCCATTCTACAATAAATGAACTGAGATTAATTATTGAACTGGCTTGATTACTGAATATACCGGAAATACTTTTGACTGAAGGTCGAACTTTGAACTGAAAGGATTGATAACTGGGCTCGGAAACTAAGACGAGCATTATTAATAAAAGAAAATAGTTCAAACTCGAAACTAAAAATTTCACTTTTATTAACCCAAGCCATCATGTGTCTCCGCCACTGACTCCACCTCGATTACCCATTGCGGTTGCCGGGTAAACAGGCACAGTCCCATAGGCTGCCAAATATGAAATGGTGACTATTCCGGTGAAGCTTTGACGTGTGGCAGCGACATTCGACGTGATGTCGAGAGTATAATATTGTGAAATCGATGGTAACGAGCACTTTGTCGATATCTCCTATTTCGAATTCAGCGACTGGAAAATCGGGAGCGCGAAGGACGGCGACGAGGTTAACGAGGGAAGTCGGTTGGAAAAGGAAACTCGACTCTGTAATTCGTCGTATGAACATTCTGGTAGCGCGGATGAACCTAAGGTGAGGGTCGTTTGTGCTGCTCTGAACTGGAGTCAGCCCGACTGAAGTTGGTTGGACAATAAAGGTAGCCCGATGGACGTTGGCTGAAAAAATCTTGAAAGCCGATCCGATTGGTCTGTGTGTGCGCGCATGAGAGTGTGTGAAAGAGAGAGGGGTATGGGTTGGGTGAGGCAGGTCCCACGTGTACAAAGAGGGTATGGTGAGTTGGGTTGGATGGGTCAACAAGTTGGTGGGTGGTGGATTTTATTCCTTTTATACATACAATATGGATGTTAAATCGAAACTCATCAAAAGACGATTAATTTGATATATTACATATGTAAAACTGATAAAAAAATGAAAAAGTTATTAACATCTAAAATATATATACAATTCAATAGTTATAATAAAGAATGATATTGATATGCAATTAATACATGTAACATGACCATAAATAATCAATATATTTATGGTAATCCGAACCTAATTATTTTTTGTTTGGAATTAAATTAAAATTTACCCAAGCCTAATAACAACGAAGCATGTAATTTTGCCACATATGATTCTGAAGCACCAGAAGCAGCCATGTAGGCTCAGCGCGTTCTGGATTAATATATAGGGGAGGGGGATTATTCGAATTTGATCTACAATATTATGTTCTTCTATAATACTTTATATATTTTTTTTTTTTGGAATAAAGTATTATCGTTATTATTATTATTATTATTATTTGAGTAACTATATATTTACTCACATTAATTGTTTTATTCAAACATATTAACATCTATCAACTAATTTTATCAAATATTTCAACACAACCCTCTAATATAATCGTTCAAAGTAAATAATACAAACGGGTCAAAATAGTTGATATGATCCACTACGGCCAAAATCGCCTGTATTGGCACCCTTCCATTTGTTTTGCTTGTTTGGACTTGGAGGAAGTAAATAAAATTATTGAAGTGAAAAAAACCAGAGCCAAAAGAAAAGAAAGGAAAAAAATAAAAATCTAAAAGAAATGATTAGTGTTGTATCATGTGGTTAAAAACTTTAAAAGCAGCGAGAAGAGAGTATTAAGTTGAGGGCAGCTGCAATCATTGTCCTATGCTTCAACTCTTCCAGCTACGCTCCTACCCCACTCTCACTCACTCACACTCACCTCCTCCATTCTTCACCGCCATAACTAAAACCACACATCAAAAACATTATTATTTCGTCTACCGATCTGTGTTTTACCTGAAAAATAATAATAATAATAATAATAATAATAAAATAATCTACGTGGAGGTAAATATGTGCAACAGAGATATTCTTGAGTTTTTTTTTT